TTTTTCCTGGTACCTTCAAATGAGAGCCATTGTCTGACTCCCTTGGTTTCACCATTGATCTGTTTCTTCACTTGTCAGTCACTAATATAAAATTTGGGAAATGAAGGTCATAAAAAGGTAAAAGGGCAACAAATGCTTCCGCCCATTCCAGTGTCCCAAGAGCAAAAAGGACAAGTAGAAGCAAGTTTTGGAAAATGTGGTTTGTGAAGAAGGTATGGTTACCCTAATTCCTTACCAGTGTTTCCTTTCAGGTTTTACTGGGTTTCAGGTTTTGACTCCCACTTTTTTCCAGGGTACTCTTCCAGGGTGGCTACAGGGGATGGGAAGTGTCATGGCAAGTCTGAAGTTGTAATTGCAGATATCCACTGACAGGTATCATCTACATACTAATAAGGTATTTTTCACATTACTGTTTTGAAAATTTTGATGCAGCATCACATCCCATAACATACATAGCTCCCTACTGAGCTGTATGATCTAACTAGTTACCACATCACTACAGTAAAAGTCCACTGACTCCCACAATCATGACACCCTTGGCTTGTCACACAGATTTTCATGGAAGTTTAGGGTACTGATTACTAAGGTAAAATATAAATTTCTGAAGGTTTTACTTCTAATTATAGTAGAATTTTCCTTCTAAGTGATATCTTTCTTGTTCAAGAGGACAGAGAACTGAGGGGGATGTGCCTTTTCAGTGGTGAAAGTGAGCTTTGGGACTTCCTGCACAGCTAAATGTGAGTACTTAGAAAGACTGACAAGACCAAATGGATGCCAGGGTTTTATTTAATTATAGCACTTTTAAGTTAGCAATTGCAAGCCAATAAACCATGTGACTACTGCTGCTGTGTAATACAGTAATCTTACCACTGCCCACTGAGAAGAAAGATGATCAGCAGAACATAGAAGACTAATTTTGAGTTCTTTTGTCCCCCATGATCTCCTGATCTAGACACCTGTTCAGCAACTTGGATTAGAAATTTGTACAGAAATGCACAGCGTATACTTCAACAACTCTTGGGCCTTCTTGAGCACACTACAAGGACATGACGGTCTGAGCAGCACACTCAGGAAAGTGCAATAAGAAGTGAACCACTCTGTGGACCAAACCCAACCACACATTGCCAGTTGGACCATCCTGCTCCACCAACACCAGTGTCAAATCTACCCTTCTTAAGAGTGGTTAGAGTGAGTCAGCGTCTGAAGAATGTAAGCTACATGTATATCCATGTTGCTATGTAAGTTCTAGTGTGTTCAGAAAACCGAAAACAAGCTGCAGTTAATCCCCTAAATGGAAGAGACAAGACTGCAGTTGATAAAACTGCGGATGAGACCAATACTTAGAAAAGTGGATTGTGGCAAGGGAATAAGTTAGCTAAGCTGCGAAGACGTGACCTACCTGTAGAAAGCTGTAGGATCTCAAAAGAAATATGCAAAAAATGTTTCTTTGTAATGAATGGTTGGTGAAGACTTCAGACCATAGCATTACTGAGGATAAAAAAATGGTGGCAAAGGAAGTGAAGAGGCCATGCGACATATTTACTTATAAGGGATCTCATCTCTACAGGTGCTTCTGTTTCAGGCATAGGAAACTTGAAACTATGTGCTAAAGGTCCTGGGACCATGAAAAAAAAAGGTATATGGATGCAGCAGACCAGCAACTAAGCATAAGGAAACTTGACTATTTGGAATAAAATAGCAGTATCAGCAAACGTATTTTGGGATTTACAGATACTGCTAGCATATATAAAGTGATGTATTTGACCAGCTACAGAATATTTAGTCTGATACTGTTTTCCACTGCTTTAAAAGAAGGTAGATTGAAATATGCACAAAATTACACTGTCATCAGTTTTCACTAGGCATATTCCAGCATCAAGTGCGTGCACTTCTAGATTAATGCCTTTTATTTGTGTTGTCCCTAACACAGGAGGATTTGTGACTATATATGGGTGTGTAGAGAAGAGATTGCAACTGACATTTTGAGCAAAAACAAACAGAGCAGATAGGCATGACTGATTGTTCCAACAAACATCAAACAATTTTGCAATGCATATTCAAGTCTGAACTCTCTCCAGTTTTCTGCTATATAAAAATATCCCACTCAAAAGCTTCAATTTTTAGTTCTGAATTACTTATTTTTTACATCAGTCTCGCTGTTTAACAATTAAATGAGACGCCCTAGAAGAAAAAAAGTCAGATGTCTTTTTGTAATGAATCAAAATTACAAATATTTTATTGGTAGTTTAGTATGTTTGTCTGAACCACAGAAGCTGCTATTTTAAATGACCACAGAATATGAAATATTTTACACAGCTATACAGAACAATTAAAAAAAATCTTTTTAACATTATTTCAGTACATACAACATTCACTTGCTAAGCCAACCATGTGTTGATTAAGACAAGGTTTTGACAGTGAAGTGCAACAGCTCACAGCAGATGCTCCATAACCATCAAATTTTGCATTTGATTCTCCAAGATGTCGTACCAGTGCATCAGTTCAGTGCCAGTCTGAAATGCCCTCTCTTTACTCTAAGAGAGCTCTGTCCAGGCAGAATTCAGAGCAGCTGGGGAAGTAAAAACTAGCTACTACCTGAAGACCAAAACACAGAAATGTGATGTAGTTTCTTATAAGTTTATTTTTTTCATCTCAAGTCATTCTGTGTCAACTCGTCAGGCCACTGGGACAGATGACCCTTACTCTGTCACATCACTCTGGGCAAGCACATCGGACTCCTATAAAGAAGCATGTTCCTCTCTGCAGTTGTTCTGCTACCTGTGACCCCCTGTTTGAGGCTTAGAGAACCTTAGACTAGCTGTTTTACCCCATGAGCTGATTTTACCCTCTTTTCCTAACTTTTCTGAACAACTCATTTGTCAGAAAAAAAAAAGAATATTTTGCTTTTAATCTCAAGATAGCAAATGTCAGCTAGTATTTTTAAAGAGTTAGTGCTGTGCCCTAATTATGCTCCAACTGAATTGAATGGTGAAACATTCATTAATTTCAGTGGATGGAGGAACAGACCTGTACTGAGCACTTTAGAAAACACCTGTGATGAGTATTAAGAGATTTAATCTTAGCTAGAACACAGACGTATAGAAGCTCTGTTGTGTATTCCTTTAACTGTATGAGAGCAGAAGTTTGGAAAATTTTTATTACTGGAAATGAGAGCATCAGTAAAAATACTGCTTTGAAAAAATACTGCAAAAAACCCACAAAAAATATACTGATATGTACGTATTAACTCCAAAAAGTGGGCAGTATATATGGTCTTTATTTGCAAAATGTAAATGTCTGACTTAGCAGGACTCATCAACAAAGAATTAGTCCAGGAAAAAATGAAAAATATGTTACACATTTGCCAATAGAACAGCTATATTTTAAATAAAAGTAACAATAATATACATGTACAATATTGTAATGATATAACTTGATAAAAATAACACTGATCGGTATCAAACTTAGGATTTAACTGATTATCCATCCTTAGCAGACAAAATGCTTTTCACAGAAATAGAAGTAGGTAGGGTGAAGTGAAGTGATATTTACGGCTTACCCTGAGAAAGTTACCATGAAAGTTAAGATAAAAATGTAAAGAGCAAAATTTTAAATAGATTTATATTTATAAAAGTTCAGCATTATAGCAGTTGGGTGCATGTGTTGCAGAAAGATGGTAACAGCAACCTAACAGTAGACACAACATACACACTTGCACCTATACTCACACACACAAACACACACATGCCCATGCTCAAATGTATGTGCATAGGTCCTCAGCTTGATTATACAAGCGTACACTTCCTAGCTTTAGATAGGGGCAACACCAGGAACGGGGTTCACCTCTCCTGTTTTTAGCATCTGCAAGGTAGCTGTAGCTACCTAAAGTCAGATGGAATGAAACCCATCTACAGTAACATCAGCTCAACTTTTTTATGAAAACTGTTTTTATTCTGAGCATATTTAAGGCACTTTATGAAAAAACCTGAAGTTAATCAAGACTGAAAAAAAAGGTAAAAATCGTTACATGTGAAATTTGGAAAATTAAAAAAAAAAAACCTGAGTTTTGATAAATATTTTTATTATAATAAAATACCATGCCTATTGAAAACACATCTTTTATAAAAACATGTTATATGACATTTCTTCTTGAAAAACTCATGCCTTAGTGCAGAAAATATGTTAATAAGTCTTTGGGGACATTTGTAACAAATTCATAGGAAATGAAAAGCCAAAGAATGACCTGTCGTGTGTACAAAACATGCATTGCTCCCGGCAACACACATCATGTTTACTACAGGCTTCTTTATCTTTCTGTTTTCTTACAGGGTCCCGCCCATATTTTTATACTTTATAATTAATTATGCTTCACTAAACTATTTACAGAAGCAGAAACTAATCACACATCTTCTTAAGCCCTTAAATATGGAACTACAGAAGTAGAACATATTTTAAAACAGTATGAAGATGAGTGTGCTACATAGTACTGTTCTCTAGAACTACAGTTTGTGAATCATTTTCTTTACGAAGATTGAAATTTAAATGAAAATAGAAGTTCAAATTCTCCCTCTGTTTCCCTCGGTTACATTTTTTTCCACCTGCTGTTTCTAAAGGATTTCGTCCCAGGACAGTATTTGGATTGCAAAAACAGTTGTAAATTGCTGCAAAATTATCTCGAGTAAAGAAATGTCAGGGTCTGGAATGCCCATTGCTTACACAGGATACAATCAATTCATTTTCAGTTAAAAAAAAAGTAGCTGGTTTCCAATATTAGCCATCACTTGTATGGTTCTAGTACTATTAATTTTTGCTTTTGGTGTGTTTTTCTCTCCTCCACTGTCATTAAACACGAATAAAGTGGAAACAGTGAAATGGACCATACCCAAAGTGCTGTCAAATGCACTGAACATGCACAGTGGTTACAGAATGGTATTTATAGAGGCCTTGGGAGGTTCCTTCTAACAATAATAGGTAAAAACAATCATCAGAGTGAAAGGCATTTTTGATTTGACTGCATGCTTTAATATTTTCATTAGCTACCTCTATTATACCCCTGATAAAAATTCTACTTTTTTACACTTAAACTTCTATTACAAAGTATTTAATGTTTTATTAAAAAAAACCCACTGTAGTGATGATGGTTAATCTGCTTTACAAAAGATAATACATTGAGTTATATATAATAATGGCTTTGATCCAATTAATGTTACATTATACTTCTTAGTAATTACTGTGACTTCAGTTCCTACAACTGTTACAGTGACTACAAATGATCATTTAATGTACGGGAAGTGGTGATCATTTGGAAGTGCTGATTCAGAAGTATTCAAGTGCTAACAATGACTTGTTCTTTCTGCGCTTTTCTTCATGTTCCATAAATGACAATTTTATAAATGTCCGTGATTTTCAACATGACGCAGTTGTGAGGCAATTTGTTTTACGTTCTTTTTTTTGTGCAAAGACAAAAATAGATTTTTCTAAATATTACCATCTCATTAAAAGTAATTGCCACTTTTATTTAAAAAGGCACCAGCATTAATGTAAGCGAATATACCTTTTATGCTTGCTTTATGAAGAGCTGTACTTGTTACTAGAGCGGAAATTATCATATCCGTGATCATTAGCTTTAAACTTTAAACAGGACTGCCTTTCCTCCAGGGACAACAAATCTTTGGATTGGCACCAGCAACATAAGCATGACTGTTAAAATAAAAAGAATAAACATTTTACATCATTTTGTTTTGCACATGTGGCAAAATGCACAGAAAAGCTGCCCTTCTTCAGCGATGCAGTAGGAAATGGCAAATGTGCAAGATGCCATTTTGGGATTACAGTGTAAGCAAAGCAAAGAGGTTAAACTCTGCATTGCTCAAATGGCCACTACCTACGGATGCCCATTAGCAACCTGAGTGCTGGAGGGCAGGAAGTGTTACATTGAGCTATGTATAACAATGGTCACACACATACCGCTTCTAGTCTGGTCTGCAATTCTAAATGCATCTGAAAATAAAATTATGACTCCTTGTCCTTTCTCTGATAATCTTTCTTGGAAAAAATGTATGCACAGTAATCTGTACTTTCTAAGCAAGATGCTGCTATTTTGTTGATTTTTTTGAGGGGAAAAAAAGAGAACTAAGTAGGAGAATGGTGAAAACCTACATACAGTTCAAACATTTACTAAATGCCCTCCAGACCTTTTGCTGATACTACTGACTGGCCTTTGGGTGCTGGAAGTCCGTCTGGGATTTCACACACTCACTTGTTTCCACCCTCGGGATGCTACAGATCTCTTATGCTGTCTCAGCTCCAGTGACTCTTTCAGGGAGCCACCAATGCAGACAGGGAAGATGAGACTGACACTAAAGTCTCTGCAAGATATGGTGTCACAATTATGTGGAAAATACCCCAGTACTACCAGCTGTAGAGCTGACTGGCTTTGGATGCAAATATATAGTCAGTAAGGAATTTACAATGCCAGGCAATAAGCCCAGCAGTGGCCAATGTTTAAATGCTTGTCAAGAAAATAAAAATCTACTATTTGTGGCAGGAAACGTAAGAACCCTGACACAGTGTCTGAAAATGGTAAGGGGCCACAAAAAAAGCCCAAATCTGGACATTCTCCAAGCAGATGTGAAAGCTGAAGGACTGACGGGCTTCAATCCACATAGGATCCAGAGCCTCAAATCCTATGTGGAGAATCAGTACTCAGGACTATTCACTCAAACCAAGGCAAAACTACGAAAAGGTCTATCTTGTAAAATGTTGGCGTTAGAAAGGGATGAGTGGATACTTGCACCCTCTGCCTTACGTAACTGTCTACTGATTTAAGTGCTCAGTCCAGCTGGGGGGAACGCAGGGTCAGCACCCTCCCGGCTGGGTTGCAGAGGATATGGCTACGTGAATCTCTGCAGCACAGTCCGAGTCTGCTTTGTCAGTGCTCTTGAAGTGGCTGAGTGCCAACTCGAGCCAGGAAATGATGTAGCATTGATTAGCATGTTGCCAAGAGGGTTTTGTTGTACGCTCCTCTCTTTTGCTTTCTCTTTTTGTCCTCATGAATCCTTAATTCCTTTCTAAGTAGCTTCAGCAGCAGAGAGAGAGAACACCTACCAAAACCCAGTTAAAATTTAAAATAAAATGTAATGACCATTTAAAACACTTTGTGCATGTTATGGAATGAATTTTACTGCTGACACCATCTCTTAACCAGGAGAGCAGCTCCCAGAAGTCTCTTACCTTAAAGCAGTTTTGGAATCTCTTGCTCACCAAATACAGAGCTATTGGATTGATGCAGGAATTCAGTGAAGCCATGTTAATACCAATGTAGTCCATTACAAGAAAAAAGCTGTGTGGAAAATAAAGTAAGCAAGACACTTCTCATTTTCTCTGAAAAGGTTTAGTAGAGGTTTACAACTACATAAATTGGACTCAGCTTCACTCAACCAAGACTAACTATTAAACGTAATAGTAAAGAGGCTTATACCAACAGGATTAACTTACGGAGGTAACAATTGTGCTCAGTAATACAGTTTGAATCAGTGTACTACTCTCATGAAAGTAATTTCAGAAGATCCAACCACCTTAACTTGTGGGAGGAAATATTAATGAGGTTTTCCTCACAGATTTAATCCTAGCTGTTCTTTTGAAAGGGAAAACCAGGACGTAAATTCCCCCTCCACCCACATAATGCCACAAGACAGTAGGACAGTCCCAAAAGGGATCAGGATAAGACAGGTAAGCAGGACAGAAGTCCTGTGTTCATGGGATTCCTAATAATCTTCTGACTCCACCACTGGAGTGAGAGCAGAGTGTCCTGGATGACAAAGCAGGGAGAACTGGAGACACACACACACTAAGCTAGTTCATTACGAAATCCAAACAGGCTTATGGAGAATGTCAGCAGTGCACAGGCGTTTTATTTTTACTGTCTTACCTTAAAAGTTCACATCTGTTGGGGTCCTTCTGATCATAAATAGTGAGCTTCAATATTCTGCTTAAGTGAAGTGGGAGCCAACATAAGGCAAAAACAAGTACCAGGCAGAACACAGTTTTGGCCACCTCACGTCTCTGAAAAAGAAAATTGGACAGCACAATGTTATAGTTTCTGTCTCTTGATTGCTGTTGTCCTCTAACATCCAAATGTTTAATAAACAAAATAAAATTCCTATCAAAATAGGAGTTAGGAGAACATCAGAATGCCCAATTTTCTTGGAATATGTACTTAATCTTTTCTATTGTTTTAGATGTCTTGCACCAGTTCACCATATCTCTGATTTTAAAAAGTATGAGTAATAACATGAAAAATCAAGGACATAAAAACACTCACTTAAATTAAAACTAAGAACATATTTGTCTCCCCAATGTCTTTCAAATACCAGCTTCTTTTCAATTACATTTTCTTGTGCTTTGATCTCAGGTCTTATTTTAAATGCCCCAAGAGATTTCAATTACAGCTTTATCAAGGTAAGAGGAAAGAAGCACATACATACTTTATAGTACAAATGTAGTTTAATTTTAGTGACGTATGATGTTTGTGTCTGGTGCACTACTAACTTTGAATGTATTTTGGAATGTGTTTTGTTCTGATATACTGCTAACCTCAGTACAGTTCAGCATGAAATTGCTTCAAAGTAAGTAATAATTTTACAGCACCAACTTCTAGATTACAGTACAACTTCAGTCTTCATTACAGAATATCCAGCTTTCACTATTGTAAAGAAAAAATAAAAACTATAAAACCTAAAGAATTAACACCAAGCAAGAAAAAAAAAATCTTGTGATTCCTAGAGAAAATCTTAGGTTTCAGGGGAATCTGACATATATAGATAGATAGATAGATAGATAGATAGATAGATAGACAGAGAGAGATATATATGAGTTCAGCAGCACAGCACCACTGTTAGGAAACTTCTTAGTAGTAATCTTGAAGTTGTCATACAAGAACATAATAATGATGTGGCAGAAAAATCAGTAAAGGTATCATTGTCATCCTCTCTACAGTCATCATTGTCAAGGATAAATTTTTACCTGTTTTAAGTGGTCATTTAAAGCAATCTGCATCCCACTTTTCTTTCGTAGCATCTCACAGGTCATGAGAGTATAGAAAAATGCTGTGATAGCCAGGGGCAAACAGAAGTAAAAGCTGAACAGCCACCAGTCTTTAGCTTGCTTGTAAAACTAGAAGGAATACAAAAGCAAAAACATTGTTAGGAGTTGAATCTTCAGCATTTTGGAAAGTATGCTACAACTAATTGGTCAGTCTGTCCTGAAAAGCATCTCTATAAGGTGTATATTACAGATGAGAAAACAGGACAGGACAGTAATATGCCCAAAGCCCACAAAAAGACAAAAGTTTCTGGATGCTCTTCTTTTAACCAATATACTTCAGAAATTTGTCAGCATTTAATTTGAACACTATATTCACCTACACTTCACATGCACTTGTGCACATTAGGATCCACACAACACTGAGAAGATCCAAGGAACTGTTCCAGAGACCTGTAATTGTATAAATGTCAGTGTCTCACCATCATAAAGGATGTTTTCTGCGTGGGGTGAAGCAGGCAGATTCTAAGATCCTTTCCTCTGTACTCCATCGTAATCATGTCAAATGCTATAGCTTCTGGAACAGCCAATATCACTGATATGACCCAGATCAGTACAATTTCAACAGCCGTCCACTTTGGCACTCCAATTCCTTTAATGCGACTCCAAGAAGCAACTGCTCGGTACCTGAAGCAAGAGCACACATTTGAAAATTAAAAATATAAGAAAACCCAATCAGCTAATTAGTATTATATCAGCTGAGTGGAAAGGCAAATTTGAGTCAACACCTGTACTTAAAAGAAATTACAGTCTGATGAAAAAAAGAGTCTCACCTATCTATACTGAGGGCACACAAACTCAGTACTGTGATGCCCACTGATGCCTTTTGAATGAAGGGTACTAATTTGCACATTTCGACACCAAAAGGCCAGTCCTCTGCAAGTAGCTGTGAAAAGAAAACAAAAATTAGAAATTAATAATTTTTTAAAAATAATTCCCACAGATGCAACATAGACTTTTCTCTTAATTGTTTTTCTTTTCCACCATGCAAAACTTAGTCAAGAAGAGCCTTTTCACAAGGGAGTCTCCAAGGTGTGTGTCCTAGAAACTAGGCAGCAGTGTCCCAGTCAACCCCTGGCTGGGCAAGGATATGGATAAGGGCTCAGTCCAGACTTCTCTAGCCCTGCATACTGCACTCAGTTTTGCTTCTAACTTCTCCACTCCAGTGTCCATGGTGAAAAATGACTGAGCAGGTGAGGATTTCCCTCATCTTTTATTGGCTTTATCCGTCTTGAGTGTTCACTGCTTTTCTTATATGTTCCTAGTAACAGTCCATTTGCTAGAAATACAGAAAATTACCTGTGGCTGATCAGAACAGGGACAAAGCTAACAAGTGCACATCTGGTGTGGGGTTTATTTGAAGCTTGGTGTCTAGGCTCCATAAGCTCGGAAGTCAGGCAACCCTGGAGAGCAATGTGTCCCATAGCTTTAAGCTGAGCATCTGATAATGAAAGGAGGGACCCCCTGGACACACAGGGAGCCTAGAACAGCTAGTCTGAACTAAATGTTTTGCAGCAGGTGAAGACAGATCAGATGAATCCCACACAGAAAATCTTTACTGACTGGCTTTCCAAAGATTCTGTATTACAATACCATAAGGACTCTGCACTTTTGGCACAAGTGCTACAGAATAAAGAAAACAGCACATTTTGGGTTGTACACTTTATCTTCTGCCACATCTCCAGTGGTACCTTTTAGCTAATTTAAGGGACAAGACAAGCACCTTCCTCACTGCTAATGCTACGAACTTTTTGCCTGTAGCTTTAGTTTAGAAACGTTCAATCTTTGTACTCCACTGTGAGCTGCTCTAATGGCTCAAATACACCACAGCAGCAGACAAATCTTCCAGTTCCTCATAAAAAAAAGACTCTACAAAACAAAGGTTATGCCAAGAAATAGTCGCAATCATTATATACAAAAGTAAACTTTCTGATTTTCTGTAATTAGTTATACTATCTAAGCCCATCTCTGTTTTTCATAACTTTTTCAACTGAGGCCTTTTGGATCTGTTGCAGAGGGCAACAAAATGTAAAAGGAGAGGAAACAAAAACAATATCTACCCAAAGGAGACCGCAAGATCTTTCCTTTGGCCCAGGTCTCCTCAGACATCTTATTTAACAGGGATGTAAGAAAAGAAGAAATAGATCAGCATACTGTATAGATTCTGCTAGAGACCAAAATGATTGAAAATAGCCACGGAGTTGCCTGCTCACATTGCTTTGATTCAGCAAAGTCCTTAAGCACACCTACATGTGCATCTAAGCACAAACAGTTAAAAGGTCCAAGACAGTTTTTGAAAAGCCATGACATAATCTAAGTATAATTTTATTTTAGGACAAAGAAAAAAAAATGTTAGCCACATTTCATGACCACGTGCTTTTGGAAATCCCTATGAAGTGCGCACCAGTATTTTCATGTACTAGAATACCTTCAGAAAACATTAGTCCTGTGCTGAAATGTGATTTTTGAAAGGAGACCAGTGGGAAAACTGTAACATAGCCCAGCTTTGATCTATTTCTTAAATGATCTACTTAAGTAAGACAAAGAGTATAATGCTTTTATAGAAATTAAGCAGAAAAATAAATTCTAAGGATTTGTGTTTCTTGATAATTTTATGGAAAGTAATAAAGCAGAGGAAATAGGGATGAGGCTGTAATAACCATACAGTATCTTTTACTTATGTGATGTGGGAAAATAACTCAGTCTGTAATTAAAGTATTTTCGGTAAAGGCTCTCACTGAGACATCTTTTGAATTGCTCTAAGGGGTTGATAGTAACAAACTACTATTCAAATTGCAATGTGAATAATTACAGGTGTTCTAAATGTACACTCTACAGAATCCAGTGACACTTGGACTAATTTCATTTATATCAAGCAGGCAGTGAACCTCCAACTTATAACACCTAATTGCCATAGAAATCAAGGACTGGGTAGCAAGTACGTTGCATACATGTTTATAGTATCCATTGTGCATTGTACATGTGTATATATTAAACCAGAGATGACCCATTAAAAAGCACTTCAAAATTAAAAAATTTTGCTCTTCATTGAACTAAAATTCAGAACTTTGATCAAATCTCTGTTGGCAGATTCTGTTGAAGACTTTTAGCTCGAACTAGGTGGTGTATGTGCAAGACGCTCTCTTCCATAAAATCACAATGGTTCAGCCACACATCAGAGATTTCCCTGAACTAATGCTTATCTCTCAGGTGCAGACTGTCACACCTGGGGTCCAAGCTGACTGGATTTGAGCCAGCTCCAGTTTAGGAGCCATATAGCTGGATTATAACAGGGCTGCACACGAGTGAATGCAGTCTACTGAAAGAAAGGGCGCATTAGCTTGGGGTTAGCATAACATCAAAATATTACTTGCATTCAGCCAGCTTAAATCAGGGGCGGAATGGACACACAGCTGTCTGCACTGGATTGGAAAAACATGTCCTTTATCTCTTGCAGCTGATGTATTGTGAAATTTGAGCATTTTAATGCATGACTCATAAGTGTCTCTATCATGGTATTGCAAGTGGTTAATGATATGCTTTGCAGCAACAGCTTGAAAACATTAAGAAAGTAAAGGAAAAAAGTAGAATGTTTTAATTGCTGAACTATGCTTCCTTATCATTTCTGTTTGCCCTCTGTATTGCCATCTCCTCAAAACACTGCCTTAAAGTACAGTGAAAATCCACTGTAAAGTATTCAGGAGCATCATATTTGTGGACAGCAGCAATGATCACTCTTGGTGAAGTACAGATGTAATCTAATGCAATTTAGTAAGGGTAAAACAATTTTCTTATGCTTCATAATAGGGTATCTGTACAAAGAGTGCCATTTTGCAAATGACAAAAGACTTAGAGCCATGAGATACTGCCAAGTGGCAGCAAAGAGAAAAATAATGTTGGATTTTCATCAGTAAAATGCCAAGAGAAGTCTACCACTGGCTGTATTCTGAGTGACCTTTTCCAATATTTTATAGTAATTTATTTTACATGGGTAAACCTTTTAACTGCGAAGCCACAGAAATGTGTTGAAGATGAAATTAAATTGAACAAAAGGAAAGGGAACACACTGCAGAATAAAGTGAAATCATACTTAAAAGAACCAATACATCTGATGCACTGCTAGCCAACACTTTCTCAGACCAGACACAGATCTGAGCCTAAACTGACGTGAAAGCTGCACAGCTGTGAAAGTAGCCCCAAGAGATGTTGTGACTAAGAGACACACCTGCGAATTGCAATTCCTGCCCTGCTTCCTCTTGGCTGTGCAGGAACAGAAAAATATTAATAATCTGCTGCTGGAATACACCAGCATGTGAGCACCATACATTGCTCTTGATGGCTTGGCTGATGTGGCCACCAGCCAGAAGGCTGACGTCGCAGCTCCAGACCACTGCTGTTGAGTTTATGCAATTGTGCACAAAGAAGGGTCCTAGTCCCGAGCCATGAATGCACACGGAAAGCACATGGAAATGCAAAGCAGGAATTCGTACCTCCTCCTAGCCCTGCATTCGCAGTAATTCTAGTTCACAGGACGACAGGACTCGACTTTCATAATTATGAATTGCAGAGTTACATAGGAAATCAGACATGCAACTGTACACCTAATTCACAAACAACAGTATGTCAATAAATCTGCAAAACGACTGTCAGATTTTCACCAGATACTACAAGATGGAGAGGTCATGAAGATAAAGCATTTTTCAGTATTTCATAGGAGCAAGTATTTTTCAAAACAGGAAATTTTCCCAGGAAATTAAGCTTATGGTCAGGGATAAGTCAGACAACATTACAAAACTTATTAATATTTAACAATAATTACAAAGTCAGGGTGGGGATCTTATCTTCCCTCTAGACAAGAAAATATAATTCCCTCTTCCTAGTCAAGAACGTCTTACTGATCTATCCAATAAACAGTGTAAATCTTAATGAGGCACACAATTAGTCTCTTCTCCTGTTTCTTTAATAGTAACTGCTGCTGAGAAAGCTTCATTTAAAAAAAAATACTGAATTAAGATGAAGTAATATCATAGAGACATCCTGAAAATGACAGAAACCTCACACTGTCTTGTCAAAGTCAAAAGTTTCTGCAGTCTCACAATCCCAATGAAAGGACTGTGTCAAAAATAACTGTTAAGAAAGCCATGCTGCTGTCAGATTAGGAAGCATAAACACAGGGCAGAAACGAAAAAACAAATGAGAATATGAAAACTTGTTTTGAAATTGGTCACACGCATCTTCTGAGCGAATGTATACATCATAAATGTACACATAATGAAAACACTACTCTAAATTTACAAATCTATTCTGATATCATCTAATATATTTCAGTTTGGAGATCCATCACAAAAACTACGTATCTGTACTTTCAATAACATACAGACATTTCCACTACTACATATATTGGACTTCAGAGTAGATTGTTCTCATGTAACTACATAACAAAGCTAACCCCCATTGCCTGTAGAGTCTTGACAGGTTCCTCCACTGGACAACTCAAGATTCTCGTTAAGTGCCTATAAGCTGCATGTATTGACCATAAGGGGTTCCTAAGCAAACTAGACTTCTAACTCAATATGGTAAGAGATCAATAAACTTTGTGTAAGAAATTCTAAGACGAACTTTGCAAGACCTCAAGTAATTGGCTCAGATGTTGAAAGAAAGGAAATGACGCATTTCTCCCTATAAAATGGCTGTTATCTTTAACATCAGAAGGATCAGTGGCCAAGAGCTGTAACACCGAATAATAACAATGTTTTCTAAAGACAAGCACCTTGACTTTTTTTGAAAGTTAGGAAAAGATTGGCTTTATCATGATGCATGCCCTACAGGTACCTGCATTACAAGAGTTAGTAAGGTCATCACAAAGACATTTCCATGGAAACCTTGCCTATTTCAGAGCACAGTTAGATTAACAAAGGGGCCAGTTTGTGTCTGCATGGGATATCCAGTCCCTAATCTGGTCTTCCTTAATCTTTCCAGTCCTTGACAATGCTATATAATGTTAACTATATTTTTATGTAACCCTTAAAATGCATTACTGAAAAAAAATCATTGCCTACAAAGCGGACTTTGGCCTTTGATCATTGGCTTGGATAAAGACCAGTTTTTGTTCCTTCCCTGGAAATTCTTTTCTCCACTCTTCCATTGTGCTCTGAGATAAAGGAATCTGTAAC